GGTCACCAGGTAAAGTGAGGTCGCCGTCTGTGGGTACATTGTGTGAGATCACCTCACGTGAGGTCATGTACTGTAATTCACCCCCATACGTGATACACCTTCTCTCAGCTGCGCTTTCAAACAATCAAAGTTTGTCATTCTGAAATCTAGGACTTTGATGGAATTTACCTTGCGACTGACATTAAATTCTACTTTGAAACACATTTTGTGATCGCTGTTAGCTTGTTCGTTCCCTACCTCGACATTAGAACATAAGAACATAAGAATGGAGGAAACTGCAGCGGGCCTATTGGCCCATTCTGGGAAGTCCCGTTTACACCCAATCCCTATTGCATCCAACCTATGTTTGAAGCTATTCAGCGTATTCCAGTGTTTACCTATTTCAGCCTAAATCTAAATTTGTCTAATTTAAAACCATTGCTACGAGTTCGCTCCTGGTTGGATAGTTTGAGTACCTTTGTAATGTCCTCTTTGTTTAGCCCTGACTTCCACTTATACACCTCTATCAGGTCGCCCCTCGCTCTACGTCTCTCGAGGGAGTGCAAATTAAGATGCTTTAACCTGTCTCTATACTCAAGGTTCCTCATGCCCAGGATTAGTCTTGTCATTCTCCTCTGAATTCTTTCCAATGATTCTATATCCATTCTGTAATACGGTGACCAGAACTGAACTGCGAAATCCAGGTGTGGTCTCACAAGCGTAGATACAGTTTTAGGATGATCTCGCTAGTCTTGTAACTAACACTCCTTTGTATGAACCCAAGTACTTTATTAGCCTTGTTACGAGCAAAAACACATTGTTTACTTGGCTTAAGGTTCCTACTTATCATTACTCCTAAATCTCTCTCGGAGTCTGATTTCTCTATGGCATCGTTGTTCATCTGGTATTTGGTTTCCCTGTTTACATCTCCTATACTGAGTACTTTACATTTGTCCACGTTAAATTTCATCTGCCATTTTTCAGACCATTCGAAAAATTTGCTTACATCTTCCTGTAGTTTTGCAGAGTCCTCGTCAGATTTAATAACACGTCCTATTTTAGTGTCATCAGCAAATATACTTATGTTGCTGTCTATGCCGATATCTATGTCGTTTATGTATATAATAAATAATAATGGTCCAAGTATTGAGCCTTGGGGAACTCCACTTGTGACGTTGCTCCAATGGGACTTAGTGCCGTTAATGCTCACTCGCTGTTTCCTGTCCTGTAACCACGCCCTAATCCATTTAAGGATGTTACCTTTGATGCCATGTGCTTCTACCTTTCTAATTAGTCTTTCGTGGGGGACTCTGTCGAAGGCTTTGCTAAAGTCGAGATATACCACATCATAATTGTGCCCCTCGTCCACCGATTCGAAAACTGGTGAAAAGAATGTTGATAGATTAGTTAGGCAAGAACGTCCGCTTGTGTAGCCATGCTGGGAATAATTGATCAATCAGTGCTTCTCCAGGTGATTTCGAATAGAGTTTGAAATGATTGCTTCCGGTAATTTGCTTACTATTGATGTTAGACTGATTGGGCAGTAGTTAGAGGATAGTGATCTATTCCCCTTCTTGAAAATCGGTTTTACATTCGCTATCCTCCAGGATTCTGGTACTACACCTGTTTTTAAGGACATGTTAAACAACTTTGCTAAGGGCATACTAAGCTCTTCCTTACATTCCTTTAATACTCTGGCAAATATCTCATAAGGACCAGGTGACTTATTAGGCTTTAGTTTGTCTATTTGCTTACTAACATCGTTACTAGTCACTACTATCTCGCTTAATTTGTTTTCTTCACTATCTCTGAATAGAGTCGGTGCCTCGGGTATCATGTTTAAATTTTCGGTGGTGAAAACTGTTGAAAAATATTTATTCAGATTATTGCTCATTTCTCCATCGTTATCAGTTAGCTCACCGGTATCTGACCATATTGGTCCAATCTTTTCTCGTATTTTAGTTTGATACATTTGGTAGAATCCTTTGGGGCTTGTCTTCGCCTCCCTTGATATCCTTACCTCATTATTCCTCTTGGCTTTCCTTATCTCGGTTTTAACCCTACTCGCCAATATCTTATAATAATCGTGGAGGTAAATTTCGCCATGCCTTATCCTTCTACCTATAGCCTTCCTTTGGCCAATGGTGTTCTTTAAATAATTATTTATCCATTTAGGGTCATTGTTGTCTGATCTGAGTTTTTTGTATGGTATGTTCTGCCTTTGTGCATTAAGTAACTCATTATTTAAATTGTCGTGGAACTCGGCAATCTCAGATCTTGTTATCAGGTCGGAGTCATCTGTCAGGTTCACGGCCAAGAGCAACACCCCCTCTCTCAGCTGCCTCTTTAAAATGTCAAAGTTTGCCCTTCTGAAATCTGGTACTTCAGTGGAATTTTCCTTACGTCTACCCTGAAAATCTAACTGGAATCTAATTTCTTTGTGATCCCTGTTTGCAAGTTCGTTCCCTACCTCGACATTGCTAATGAGGTTTTCTCTGTTCGACAGAACTAAATCGAGTATATTATTACCCCGTGTGGGTTTGGTTATATGTTGACTTAGGAAACAGTCCTGGATAGTCTCGAGAAAATCCTCTGATTCTGAGTTACCCGTAAGGTCAGTCCAATCTATTTGGCCAAGGTTAAAGTCACCTACTATACAGACTTTGTTGTGTATGGAAGCCCTGTGCATTTCATCCCAGATAAGTCGCTCATTGACTCTATCAAGATTGGGAGGTCTATATATTACTCCTGTGATTAATTTTTCCCTACCGTCGCTTAATTCTATCCAAATTGTTTCTGTATTCCGCTCAGTTTTTATTTCCTTATTTATTTCACACTTCAGATTATCCCTAATATAGATTGCTATTCCGCCTCCTTTCCTGGTCTGCCTATCGGTATGGAACAATTTGTAACCCGCAATTTGGTATTCGACCGGCAACTCACGTGAGTCTAGGTTGATCCATGTTTCAGTGAATGCTATTATATCGATTTTTTCGGTACATACCAAGGCCCTAATATCATCCATTTTGTTTCTCATACTTCTACTGTTCGTGTAGTAGACATTTAAGTTAGTCGTGTTCTGAGTCCTCCCTTTACCGCGTTTAGTTTTAAATTCCCTGTTTAATTTAGTTTTGTCATCATTCCTAACGCTATTTCCCTGTAATCTTTTACTTTGTTTACCCTCTCCCACTGCAGTTTCCCCCACCCTCGTGCCCATATGTTCCCCTAGCAGTTTAAAGACTTAGAAATCCTTTGAACTGCCCCCTCTAGAGACCCAGCCAGGGTTGCCACCCCATCCCGAGACAGGTGCACCCCATCCCTAGCATAAAGGTCCCTTCTACCGTAGAAGTTGTCCCAGTTGTCAATGAATGGGACAGATACTGACTTGCAATATCTGTCAAGACGGTCGTTGACACCAACCGCCCTTGACAACCATTCACTGCCAACTCCCCTTCTAGGCAGGACACAGCATATGATAGGGATCCCTCCCTTAGACCTAATACGATCTATAGCTGCCTTGAACTTATCAAGAAGCTCCTCGCTCCTACACCAGCCAATATCATTGCCTCCTGCACTGAGGCAGATAATGGGTTTGTTCCCATTACCAGACAAGATATTGTCCATCCTGTCAATTATATCCCTCACCCCAGCTCCTGGCAAACACACCCTCATCCTATTTTTGTTTTTACCACAAAAGACCCTGTCCAAGTACCTTACCTGTGAGTCACCAACAATTAAAGTTTTTATACCTTCCTTGTCATCCCTGTCCCTGACTGTACTAACGTCCAATTCGTCTATCAGGGGACTGAACGGGTTGGTACACTTAGCTGTTGTTGTCATTGTTGTCTTATCCTTGGTGTACTTCTTCACCACCAGCTTTGTCCTCCCACTCCTCACAACCTTCCACTCTCTTGAGTTTTCGTCAGACACTGGCTTTCCCTGTCCAGCCTCCCCTTTTAACCTCGCCAGCTCTTCCTTTAATTTCAGGTTCTCCAACGTGGCCCTCTCAATTTCTTCCTTGGCCCTCGCCAATTCTTCCATGGACCACTCCAGTTTCTCTGTTTGACAGAAAGAACTAAATGGAATATATTATTACCCCGGGTGGGTTCGGCTAAATGTTAACTTAGGAAACAGTCCTGAACAGTGCCAAGAAAATCCGCTGATTCTGAGTTACCCATAAGGTCTGTCCAATTTATTTTACTAAAGTTTAAGTCGCCTACTATACAGACTTTGCTATGTCTGGATGCCCTGTGCATTTCATCCCAAATAAGCCGCTCATTAACTCTATCAAGATGAAAAGGTCGATATATTACTCATGTGATTAATTTTTCCCTACCATAGGTTAATTCTATCCTAATTGTTTCTGTATTCTGTTCAGTTTTTAATTTCCTTATTGATTTCACACTTCAGATTACCCCTAACAGATTGCTACCCCGCCTCCTTTCCTAATCTGCCTATTGGTATGGAGTAATTTGTAACCTGTAATTTGGTATTCGACAGGTAACTCAAGTGAGTTTAAGTTTATCCATGGACGGTCTCAACATCCCAGATCAGGGAATAATTATAATATCGTTTTGTGGGTGCAAATTTTTGTCCACAAAGCGATGTGGCAATAGTTATGTTGCCAGAACTCGATCTGAAGTAACCTAACATAACCTAACCTAACCTTGATGGCGTTCTGGCAACATAACTATTGCCACATCGCTTTGTGGACAAAAATTTGCACCCACAAAACGATATTATAATTATTTCGTTGTTTGGAATGTCGAGGCCGTCCATAACAAGTTGTGGCTGTTTTGGAGGACTCAGGCTGACTAGTGGCGAAATAATGACCACATCATAAAGTGGTGAAAACCGATAACGTTCGCATCTGGGAATGATTTTTTTTATAATCCATGGTTGTGATTATTTTAATTACAAAAGGTGATTATAAATCGATATTCTTTTGTTGGTATTTGGATATATTCATGGAGAATAACTTAATATTGTATGAAGAGGTTCTCGCGTTGCGCCTCTAAGGTAGCAGCTGTCACTGGTCACGTGACTCGGTAAAATGGCGTCCTGATGCGTTGGGCACCGCCATGTAAACAATTTTTGAAGAATACGACATAGTACACTTGGTTTTCAAGATAATCACATCTAGTTAGTGATAATAAGGTACACAGTGGAGATAGAGAAGGTTTGTTATGAGGTAAATGTCTTCCATGACGTGTTGTGCTCAGTGTTGTGGTGACCATAAGTTCCATTGATTTTGTTCGCCTTGTTTAACTAAGTTCTTGTATTGACGTATTTGAAGTAGATTTCAGGCAGTATTGATGATGGAGAAGTGTATATCATATATTACCCATAGATCTTGGCATTTTAAGCCTAACTGACGACTAACGCCGATAAATAGATTATTGTAACGAGGTTTGAGAGGAGCATGTTCGTCCGGCGTATTATTTCCTCATAATTATTACCTCATTATCTGCCTCAGCGTGGTGACTGTAAGTCTGTTTTAGCAGCTACGTTAATACCCCCATTAACACATACCCAAGATGAAGTATACATATGCATAAAACAGTGAAGTTTCTCAAGACTTGCCAATATGTCTCAATTAATGCGACAACAACCTATGGTCCAGTGAGAGCCTGGTGAAACATGTGGTGTACAGTAGTTTCACAGGATAAAATCCCTTTTGTGTGAAAATGTAAAAAAAAAAAAAAGTTCTGTATTCACTTTTTGCCACTAAATGAATTTCGGGAATTTTGTAGTTGCAATCGATAATTTTGACACTACTAAGACACTTCTTCTCACAGATACTCACAGATGATCTTCTGGAAGAGACTCACGCCTGTGACTCCAGCTCAATAGCCTCTTCTCTACTCAGACAGTGGCTGTGTGTGGCGGATATTTGTGCCCTATAGTTATATACTTGTTCTTGATTTTTCCAGTATTTATCTGGCTGGTTAGGTTAGATTCAAAACTATTTTTGATGTATTTTGAACATTATTTACTTTGATTTTTATAGCAAATCTCTATATTCTGAAAGGGGGGGGGGGTTCTTATCTGAGAAATCGTTGGTTTGTGCCAGAAATGAAGGTCAAATTCATTCATAACACATCAAAATCCATCGGAAAAACATAGTTTCCACTTCGATTTCGTTTGGTGGTAACAAGTGAAAATTTACCTAAATACCCTATATCTAATTAAGAACATAAGAATGGAGGAAACTGCAGCGGGCCTATTGACCCATACTGGGCAGTCCCATTTATACCCAACCCCTATTGCTCATATAAGCATCCAACCTATGTTTGAAGCTATCCAGCGTGTTCGAGTTAATGATGATATTTGGTAACTTGTTCCAGTCATCCACTACTCTGTTTCCAAACCAGTGTTTACCTATTTCACGCCGAAATCTAAATTTGTCTAATTTAAAACCATTGTTACGAGTTTGCTCCTGGTTGGATAGTTTGAGTACCTTTGTAATGAACCCTTTGTTTAACCCAGACTTTCATTTATACACCTCTATCATATCGTCCCTCACTCGACGTCTCTCGAGGGAGTGCAAATTAAGATGCTTTAACCTGTCTGTACTCAAGGTTCCTAATGCCCGGGATTAGTCTTGTCATTCTCCTCTGGATTCTTTCCAAGGATTCTATGTCCATTCTGTAATACGGTGACCAGAACTGAACTGTGTAATCCAGGTGAGGCCTCACAAGCTCTAGGTATAATTTTAAGATGACCTCGCTAGTCTTGTAACTAACACTCCTTTGTGTGAACCCTAGTACTTTATTATAATGCCTTGTTACGAGCAAAAACACATTGTTTACTTGGCTTAAGATTCCTACTTATCATTACTCCTAAATCTCTCTCGCAGTCGGATTCCACAATGGCATCGTTGTTCATCTGGTAACTGGTTTCCCTGTTTACATCTCCTATACTGAGTACTTTACATTTGTTCACATTGAATTTCATCTGCCATTTTTCCAACCATTCGAAAAATTTGTTTAGGTCTTCCTGTAGTTTTGCAGAGTCCTCGTCAGATTTAATTACACATCCTATTATAATGTCATCAGCAAATTTACTTATGTTGCTGCCTATGCCGATATCTATGTCGGTTATTTTCTTCTACTATAAATTGACTCAAGTTTCTTACTTCTTAAACATTAATTGAAGTTTGGAGAAATTGCAACTTTCTTAATTTTGTTTTCGGTAATCTTTTATGGGGGTGTGCCCATTCCGTCACCAACTATCCAACCAGATGCGAACTCCTAACAATGGTTATAAATTAGACAAATTTAGATTTAGGTGCGAAATAGGTAAACATTGGTTTGGAAATAGAGTAGTGGATGAATGGAACAAGTTACCAATCATCATCATTAACTCAAATACGCTGGATAGCTTCAAACATAGGTTGGATGGATATATGAGCGATAGGGGTTGGGTGTAAATGGGACTGCCCAGTATAGGCCAATAGGCCCACTGCAGTTTCCTCCATTCTTATGTTCTTATCGCCCTATTTTTTACCCATTTCGTCACCACTGTTTTTATCCGTTTCGTCACTCCTCTCATTCCCATCACCATTTCAAGGGCAATACATTCCAGAAAATTCTTACATGATTAAAACATCAATATACAGGTATCCCCTGTGTTACGGAAGGGTTCCGTTCCTGGAAAATTGACCGTATCGCGAAATTCCGTAACGCGAAACCTATTTTCCCATTGACTTCCATTATAAAACTGGAGATGTGTTCCTAAGGAATTTTTTCGGCCCCAAAAAAGTAATTCAAGCACTTTTATTAATGAAAATAAACATTTATAAACACATACAATACAGTACATTAAATAATTTATGATATACCTTCTTAAAACACCAAGCTTAATATCCAATTAATATCCTTTGCGACTTGTTTTTGCACTACTGCGGTCACTTCCACTTGATGGCCTCATTCCAGTCATCTTGAATAAGGGTAATGCACTATACTGTACTTACTGTATGTTTGTAAAAGTTAAATCCAACTGCTGGGGCGAGAAACATGCGTGCACACTGGATGTAAACAATGGACTGACTCCTCGTGGCGATGCCACGCTTGACGGCAGCAAACACCAAGAAATCCACACCAAACAAATTATAATTTTATATAATTGTTAAAATTTACCCCAATTTCAGTAAGGTCGGATTTATGGGCCGTAACGCGAAATTATTGGTCATAATTTACAAATTCCGTAAGAGCGAAATTCCATAACCCGGGCTGTAACACGGGGGATGCCTGTATACACGAAAATTTCACTAAATTTGCCAAAATAGCTGTTGCTTGGGATAGAAAATAATAAAAACACCTAGTTTACAAAATTTTATTACAAAATTATGCCTCAGCATAACAATACATTTGGATCATACAAGCATCTCACTGAGACAATTTATTAAAGACGAAAATAAAATTTAAGAACATTATTACTCATGCAAGCATCTCATTGACTAAAATTAAACAAAAATAAAAACATTGTTATTATGCCTGCAATCATTTCGCTTAATATTTGAAAGACTAGAATTTAAAAACAACTAAAAACATTGTTATTACTCATGCAAGCTTGGAAGAAGATACTGTCACTTTTTTAGGAAATTAGAACTGGTGATATTTTTTTTCATATTCATCCCATAGCTTCCAGAGACGAACTTGTTTGTCATGATTTGCTTTTCTTTTGCACGATTTTAGCTTGTGCTCAGCAACTAGTTGTAATTGCAAATCATTGAAGAAGAAGAAATCACCTTCATTTGTTCTGTATTTTGTATATTTACCAATGTTTTAATCGTTTTCTCTATTAATAATTAATATTCATGTATAATAATAATAACAATAATTCTCGGGTCATCTGTATACACGTGTAAAATAATAACTTACAGTTTGTCACTAATACCAGTGACTACCGGTCTGTTAGTGGGGACGAAACGGATTTGATATTGGTGACGAAATGGGGTGTATCACTTTCATGTACCGAGTAATGGACCACCTTTGTTGAAATTCAGCAAGACTTAGAACATTCTGTTACATAATATAATTTAAGCTGTGGAAATTTGTCCAGTTTTTGGTTAGGTAGGAGGTATTTTTAGAGTAACACCAGAAGGAGTTGATAGAATTGGAAAAAAAAATTGTGGAAATGCTTTATATATATATATATATATATATATATATATATATATATATATATATATATATATATATATATATATATATATATATATATATATATATATATATATATATATATATATATATATATATGCTGTAAAATAGAGAAATGGAAACGAGAATGCACAGAATGTATTTGAACTTGACCTGACCGATCTAACCTAAAGTAACCTACCTTCCCAGAAAAACATTTTAAAACATACCTAATGACACTGAATGGATTCTCGGTTCCTTTATCTATTTAATGGATTGTAATTAACGTTTCCACAAAGTTTTGTCCAATTCTATCAACTCCTGGTGTTACTCGAAAAAAAACTTGCCTTGCCAACAACCGGATGAATATCCACAGCGTATAATTTGTCTTTCATTAAATTAACCAAACTAACCTAAACTTAAGCTTCACAAACATTATTTTGCTTAGGTTAAGTAGCTTAGTTTAGTTCATTTAATAAAGGTTAGATTAATGCAGCTGTGTTTGTTGTGTCCACAAAGGCACTCCTGATTTTATGCCTGTTAAGTACAAGATTACCAGTACTTACTAGGAAATTTGGTGCAGACAATGTTGTTGCCATGTTTAGGGTTAAACTGTTGGTAAATTTTCACTTGTTGCCACTATAAGAAATCGAAGTTGAAACTGTTTTACCAATGGTTTTTGATGCGTTATAAATGAATTTGACCTTCATTCTGGTGCAAATCAATAGTTTCTGAGATATGCCCCCTCCCCCTCTATCTCAGAATATAGAGATTTGCTTTAAAATCAAGGTAAAAGGTGTTCAAAACATATAAAAAACCATCGAAGGGGGGGGGGGGTGTACCGCCACGTATGAATATACATAATAAAGTGCTCCTATAGTATGCTGTTTACCGAGCTGAAAATGGTCTACCAGGATATTTACACTGTGGTGTCTTAACCTAATCTTGACTATCATAACCTAACTTAACCTGACCTATCTTAACCTGACCTATCTTAACTTAATCTATCTTAACGTAACCTATGTTAGGTTAGGTTAATGGATGCTACAGTGTAAATATCCCAGTAGACAACTCCAGCTAAGCAGACCGCATACTGTAGTAGTACCCGTAATAAAATGTTAAATATCTCACTCATACGTAATTAGCCCCTGAAATGCAATTGAAGAAAATTTTCTTAGAATTGTCAAAATTACTGATTGCAACTAAAATTCCCAAGATTCGTTTGTGGCAACTAGAGAAATAATAATACAAAACTGTTGATGCACTAGCCAGTGAAGGATTACAACTTAAGCAACTTTCCCACCAAAAGTTTCCATATGACTTGTTGATAACAGAATAACACCCAAGGCCAACTTACCTAACCTAACTAAACCTAAAAGGATGCTCTTCTTTACTAGGGGAGTTATGTCTGATGCAGGAGATTATAATTATCATGTTTGGTTTGTTTGTTCATCTTATTTATGATAAATCATTAGTTGTAGTTGGTGAGGATCTGCTCCTTAGGTATGACGTGCCAGCACCGATAAACTTGCTGGGTTAATGTTATGAAAGTTATTATAAAACCTCGCTATTTATTGGTACAGGTAAAAGAAATCAGTATAATAAAACAGGTTAAAAATAACTTTAATGTAGGGAAATAAGATACATACAGTACTGAATATACTGTATATAATTTATCACTCCCCAAAGTTAACAGAGAAAATTGTTTGTACTACAGTAGAAGCTGCTCAAGGTAGTGATGACAGCATCCCTATTTAGAATTTTTAAGAAATAATGTTAATTTGAAATAAGGCTATAAATTTGAATTTGTTCCCAAGTATGTCAGCAACAATTACGGGAAACAACATGGTTAGGAGCAAATGTAACTGGAGTATTTACTGTAGTTGTTCATTTTATGGTGTTTTGTCTATTTTAAACTTTGATGCTAAGATTATTTAATATAACTAATTATAAAATATGATTTTACTGTGTTTTTATTTATTTCTTTATTTTGCTTCTACCTTTTTTATGCACAGTATATATTGTATTGTTTTTTATAATGAAATTTATATTTCATTATACAGGTACCTGTAGTGTAAAATGATCTCTGATGTTAATGTTTATTTTTCAGGGTTGTGACTGAGCCATCAGAGGAGAGGGGGGATAATAAATTTTAAGGTAGGGGAAAAGATTTGGCAAATAATTTATTTTTTTGGGAGAATAAAGAACAACGGCACGATGACTTCACGAACAAAGTCCAAGAAGGAGGAGGAGAAGAAGAGGCAAGAAGAGGAGGCAGCTGCTCAGGTAAGACATGTCTAGGGGTTGGAGAAGACCTTAAGATTTGTGGCTTGGACTAATCCAATTATTTCATAAAGCAACCAAATAATAGTTACACTTGTGTACTGTACGTGTGTGTGTGTTTGTCCGTCGAGTTTGCCACTTTTTTTTAGAGTCCCAGCTGCTGTCTCTGTTTAGGCTGGAACAGTGAGGGAAAATGACAAGGTGTTTGATAAAATGAGATATTAGGAGAAGACTTTGAATGGATCATCATCTGCTTCAGTTCATAAGTGATCTGGAGAATAAATGTCAAGAATAGCACTTTTACAAGTCACTTACCATTACATGGAGAAGGCAGTAGAGTACAGGCTCTTTGTAAGGAATGTTGTTCCCATAACAAGGCCAAAAATAAGGAAGTTTATGGCACAGTACAGTAAACCCATACCCAAGATAAATCATTCTTAAAAAAGTTAATTTGTACCTAAGATCACTCGTACCCAACTCACGCTTTGATTTTTTGAGATGGAAGCACAGGCTTTATGTAGTACTACAGAATACAAAGTAACCAGAATTAGACAATGAAAGCTGTCTATATATATATATATATATATATATATATATATATATATATATATATATATATATATATATATATATATATTGGGCACGAGTTATCTTGTAATTGGGTAAGACTTGACTTGTTCTGATGGGTACAATTTGCTTGAGTACGAGTTGTCCAGCACCGCCCTAATTTTTTATGAGATGTCCTTAGACATTGTATTGTGTAGTTAAAAGGAAAATAGAGGTTAGTCCAGGAACCACCCATACTGTCCAGTAGTGTTGGATTTTATTGTTATACAAGAATAGTTGTATCTTACTATACAGAATGTGAATTACTGTCGAAAGGCTGAAAATAATTACAGGAGATATCCACATCCTCACCTTGTGACTGCTTTATGTGTCTTTGGCTTGGAAACTGCATTGATACAGGAAAATAGATCTTGTAATTTGTTTGGCTTATTGATGTGAGTGAATTTGTATGGAATACACTTTATACCACACCGACACCACTAACAAATACTTTTGTCTCTGCCACATTCACTCTCAGGCCTCTGACTCTTTTTCCAGCCTTATATTTCTTAACATTTCTCCACTGCCTCTTCAATGCAATCTACTATCAGCACTAAGTCATCAGCATGTAACATCTCCCAGGGCAGGCCAATGCTAAAGTCCCATGATATTACCTCCAGCACCATGGTAAACAGAAGGGGGCTTAAAACAGACCCCTGGTGGACTTTTACTTTCACCTCAAAATCCTCACCTTCTTCACCATTTACTCTCACAGAGGTTTTTGAGCCTTCATGTATAACCACTCAAACAAGGTACTCCACGACTCTTAGCCTTCTCATTGCTCACTTTGCTTCTTCACATGGTACCCTTTCACCTGCCTTCCCCTAAGTTTACAAACATAAAGTACAATGTTTTCTCCTTCCTTAGATAATTTTTTGTAGCAAATAATGTCTCCTATGTTCCCCCTTACCTGTCATAAATACAAACTGTATTTTGTGTGTCTACTCTCTCCCTTATATCTTTCTACAACTTTCAAAATCTGACTTAGCAGTTTCAGGTCTCTGAAGTTCCCATGTTCTAGTGCATCACCTTTACAATCTTCCTCCAGTCATCTGGAATTGTACCTCCATCAGGATTGCAATAGTCAATTCAGTCACCTACATTGCTGTCTCTGCCCATTCTCTTTCAATCCTTGTGCATGGTGCTTTTACTAATTCTGCTGCCCCTGTCCCATTCGTACTTTTCATTCAGCAAGTGATTGTAGGGTTTTTTACAGGCATCCTTGATTTCCTCATTATCAATAGTCACATTACAGCACTGTACTATGGTTATTTCTAACATACTGCTCACCAACAGCATTATTGTTTCTACCCACTATTTGCTTGGCTATTATGAAAACCTCTCCTTTTACGTTTGCACTATTCAACTTTTCCACGAATGTGTTCTGTTCATGTTTCTTAGCCTTGTAAACCTGTCTTCTAGCCTTATGCTTGGCCTCCAGGTATTCCTCGCCACCACCTATGTTCCAGGCTTTATACAACTTAATGAGCAATCAAAATCATTATCATTATGCTTACCTAGAATTATTAACAATAATGATACGTAAGCTAGTTAAATAAATCAGAATTAATATGATGTTTAATTTTCCAGGCCTATGAAGAATTTGTTGCAACGTTTGAAGAAACACCAGTACAAAAGGGAAAAGTGTGGGTCAAAGCAGGAACCTTTGATGCTGGCTCAAGAAGTAAGTTGGACTTTTGTACTGTATATTGTTATTGATATACAGTAGTATGTGCAGTAGATCATTACAGAATACGTAAATGATTTGTTTTGTTAATATACAAGTGTCCCTTTTTTTGTGGTGAAGACTCACAGTTGCCATGGCAATTGTGAGTCTTCATAATATGTTATGTATCCAGTAATTATTTACCAGATTTTTTTTTTTAATTCCAAGTTCCTTTAATGGTTATCATTTTGGGTATAGTATTACAAATAGAAGATGGACCTTAAAACTGATCAACAGTAATGTAGTAGAGCACTGAATAGACTTAAAAGATATAGATATTTTCATTATCTGGTATCATAAGGTCTTGTGTTGCCATTGGTGGCTGTATAGTATTTGTAGAAACTGAATTTTTGAAAGCACAGTAGTGTGTTGTCCAGGTCAATATTTTTTAATCATTAAGATAGATGGATAGTCTCTGATTGCCTCATGGAGTTACAACCCAGCCTTACTAGTTAAGAGGGCACTTGGAAGTCCTACATAATGACTCGGTCCCACTCTGTAAAACTGGGTTGGCAAAAAGAAGGGGGCCTCCAGCATTAAAGCTTGCTTCATATTTGCCAGATGGCAACAAGGACACCACGTCATCAGGTTATTACATCTGTAAAACAGTGGCGATTGTGTGTGTGGTAAGTTGGGCATGCATAAAAGGATATGAGCGGTTAATTTTACAGTATGAATTGGTCTTGATGCTGAAATCTTTTACAAGTATTTTTTCTTCAATTTTGTTTAGAGGAAGACACAAAGGAGAAGGGCAAACTCTATAAACCAACATCGAAGCTGGCTGAGTTAGCTGAAAAGTTCTCGAGTGCAGAAAAAGCTGCCCAGTACTCCAACCTCAGAGTAGATCGAGACAAGCCAGACAAACCTGGGAAAAAGAAGGAAAAGGAAAAGAAGAAGAAGAGTAATCTTGAGCTGTTTAAAGAAGAGCTGAAAATGTAAGCACTTAGTGTTTGAGTATACAGTACAGTATTTAACCCAATGTTGATAATTAACTTGAAATTTTTGGTCCAATGAATGCTTTATTTATTAATGAAAGTCATCATACTCCATAATATACTTGTTGGACTATGCTATGTCAGTTATTATTTTTTATTGATCCTTTATAACTTCATGATTTTAATTATGAGTAATATTTTGGTTGTTTAGTGACACTTTACCATCATTACCAGTGTTGTCATCCCATGGTACCTTTAGCTAATTGTCTTTATATTTTCCCAATTTTATTATTTTATCTTCTATGATATATTAGATCAAAGAATAATTTTGTGAGACAGTGTATATACCTGTACAGTATTGGGTTTGTAAAGAAATGCTTCTCTCTGTACAGTATTAAGTTTGCTTTGGTATGGCATGGTTCATGGAAATTTTATTTTGCACACTTAACCTTTAAACTTCTGCCCAGGAAAAATTGGTTACTCTGCTTATGTGCAGTAATGAATCCAGGTTTTTTTTCAGATATTACAGAAATAGTATGAGGAACAACAGAATATGGTAGCTATAACATACGTCCCTGCTCAGCCTCATATCTCCTGCTGAAGCATAAAGAAATGTCTTATTCCTTTTATGTTTTGAAAAGTAGCCATAGCCAAGCACACATGTCTGCCTGATAGGGAGAGGGCTAGTGGTATATGGCTATTGATGAGTCTAACTTAGCAACAATACCGCCAGCAATGTTAAGTGTAACACTTAAATAACCATACCACCATCCTCAGCTGTGAATTCAAACAAACAAACTGAATGGCAGGAGCAATTACCTTAAGGTAGTGTAGTCAGGGTTCACCACAAAGGATGGGGAATGGCGGGATGAAAGGCGCAGGCTGAGGGTGGTTGTTATGATCAGCGAGCTAGAATATTTCTTTGCCATATCTCCAAGATAGTCACCCCAACTGACTCTTGGGGGGGGGGGGGCGCATGTGATTTGAATTGTTAACTAAGAAATACCTGTAGGTGTTAAATTAAGAAATTCATAAAAGCGAATTTTTGTATCTGGAATGTTGATAAAGCGAGGGATACTTCTACTGTATTGTAGTGAAAATGCAAAACTTTTGAGTATTTTATGATGTATTTGTAATATTTAAGATGGTATTATATGCTTTTTTATTTTATACTTAGGATTCAAGAAGAGCGAGCCGAGCGCCATCGTATTAAAAATATGTACCAGACACGGGAATCTGGAAAGAGCAGTCGATTTGAAGCAGCAGAACCCAAAATTCCAGGATTTCTTGGTATGGGTAAGTTTGTTTGTTCTCAAATAACTCTGAGAGCAAACAAATTTTGTTTTTTGTTTTGTTTTTAACCGCTTGGATAAATGGGAAAATAGCCTCAATTACTGTACATCAAGTAAAGTTTAAGAGGTAAGAGCTCTGTTGAATATCTTGATTGAAAGTATACACAGAAAGGATAAACTCATAATGTATCTTGAGAAGGATTTAAAGAGTACAGTAAGATAGAATTAGTGATTAACATTGAAGATAGATATTTTGGGTTTATTTAAAATTACTATCTTCAAGTCTGATTTTGGTTGTGAAAGTACAGTACAGCATGCCCAGACAATTTGCGGACCTCGATTATTTGCTGATGACACCCTGGATGTACCCAAGAATGCCTAAGGGTAGTTTTAAAGTTGCTCGCATTTTTGCGGCCGGGACAGGGAGCCATTTGTTCTAGAGACTGTAATTTCTTTTATCTGTATTGTATAGCATGCCCTTAAAATTCGCGGGGCTAGGTTCTCTAAATGGCCGCAAATAACATTTGCTGACCGGGGTGGGGAGGGGGGGGTACATTTTTACTCGTATGCAAAGAAATGTTTAATCCCTTTGTGTTTGCCCTAAAGACAATTATTTCTTTTACTAACAAATGCAATTTTTTCCACAGAGTCTGTTCTTAACCAAAAATTTTGTTAACTGAATCTATTATTTCAATGGGATATTGGGTAACTGGTTCCAACTCACAGAAAAAGTACACACAAAGTACTGTATATCGGTAATAGAATTAACAAAATATTAAATATAAACTAAATACAGTACTGTACTGGACAGTATACTGTACAATAATAAATAAAGAACAATAGAATACTGTATTTTAACTTTGAGGTGTGTATGTCGTATTCCTCGCAGCTTTGTTTACATATCAAACAGCTGATTGTAGAGGCAGTCGATGATGACATGCCATATTCTTTACAGAGTGCATTGGTTCTATTGCCTTCTTCGTGTTTCATAATAATTTCTGCACTATATTATCAATATGGTAACTAAATTTCAGAATGACCAATAATTTTAAATGTAAAAATGCACAAATATTCAAGATACCAACAAACTCGATGTTCACTCCACTGTAAACAAGGTTAAACTGAAAAGCGTTGGTGGGTGATTCAATCAGCTGAAGGGCGCACAAAAACTGTTCCCTGTACTGTATATATTATCTATGTTAAATTTCAGAATGACCAATAATTTTAATATAAAAAATGCAGAAATATTCAAGATCACAACCTTCTTGATATTTACTCCACTGGGAACAAATGTAAACATAGAACTGATTACTGTATTGGCAGACTAGCCAATCAGCTGCTGCGCACAACAAAGCGCGTTTCTTGTAAGGCTGTCGTTAATTCAATTAAATTCAATTTCAATTGTTTATTCCTTGATAGAGGAAGCGGGATCCTAGTGCTGTCACTAGGTACCCCTGTACAATGACACCAGAATCATCTGGCAAGTGTGAAAAGTATATACAGTATAAATATTATAAAGGGGCTTACTAAAGCCTAAGGAAAGAAGGATATTCCTTTAACACATAATCAATATTATTTACAAAATATCTGGCCAGTATTGGGAGGATCATCGTGTCTCCGTCAGGGGGTCGTGGAGTGGTGGTCCAGCAGGCGTCACGGAAGCGTTATGTGTGGGGACATCTTAGGAGGTAGTGAATAAGGGTGCGGCTGTCGGGTCTTCTGCATAACGCACAAGAGCGTTGCTCGGGATGTGGGGATACCAATCTCCCAAGCAAAGTCATACCCAATGATGATACGGGCAGCAATCACGTCCCCCTTCCGCGACCCTTTCCCGTAGACGTACGAGAGGTCAGAAAGTTTACGGAGGACATCGTACCAGGTGGGCGGGGAGTCCAGGGGGATGGCTGCTTCCCGAGCTTCTCTCTGTTTGCGGCGGATTTGGGTCCTAATCTGTAAGAGTGTTCGAGGAACAACATAGTCAGGTGTGGCCTTGTTGCAGCCAGTCTTGGCAAGGTCATCTGCTGCCTCATTCCCCAAGATACCGACATGACTAGGTATCCATAGGAATGTCACAGGACGGCCTGCATCCTGAAGTGTGGATGTTAACCCTCGTATTCGGAGGATGAGGTCCTTATTTTCCCCTGATCCAAATGCGATCCCGTCGAGAGCAGACCTGGAATCGCAGCAGACAAGCAAGGGGCAGAAACCATCTGCTTCTTCCTCAGCGAGAAGGGCAGCCTGAGTGGAGGATGCCCCGTCAGAAACTCTGAGAGACAGTTTGATAGGCTCAGGGGCATGAGGACGGGAGATGTAGACACCAGCCCCGGCCCTACCTGTAGCGGGGTCAACAGAACCATCAGTGTAGAGGACGACCCTACCTGGGGACCAGTGAGCGATCCTGGAGAGGTGGTATTTGCAGAGAATAACAGGGTTCACCTGGGATTTCGGGAGCGGTCCACCGAGGGAAATCACTTCAGGTTGAAAATCCAGCCAGGGAGGAGGAGACGAACCAACAGCAGGGGTGACAACAATATCAGGCAGGAGGTCGTGTTCCTGAAGGGCTCGGATGAGTGACCCTCGCCACTGTCTTCTAGATGGAGGTCGGTCTCGGACAGCAGTAGTCAAGTTGGTTTGGACATAGTTGCCTCGAGGATCCCGTAGAATGGAAACGGCAGTTTTTAGGTAAAACTCCTGGACACGATCCTGTATGGGTGAAAGACCAAGTTCGTTATATAGAGAAGTAGAGCGTGTCCACTGAGGAGCCCCAAGGATGATACGAGCAGCTTTCCTCTGGATAACTTCGAGACGGTTGACAGCAGTCCGACTAATGTTGACGAGGGCAGGGGCGGCGTAGTCGACACAGGAACGGACAAAGGACTTGTACATGGTGAGAAGTACAGGGATGGTGGCACCAAGGGAACCCCTGCACATGGTAGAGAGGGGAGCGATACGCCGAAAGCATATGTCTCGAAGATAGCGGACTTCAGGGATCTGACAACGTGTGCGAGTTACATACACACCCAGGTATTTTGTCTCATTAACCCAGCCCAAGGGCGTTCCTGATAAGAAAAGGGGTGGAGGTACAACACGACCGTGCCACATGGCTTTTGTTTTCGCAGTTGAAAGAAGGAAACCAAGTGAATCGCACTCTCTGGAGATCAGATCAAGGGCTTCCTGCATGCTGAGGTAGTCAGGGGCTTGGAGGAGGACATCGTCGGCATATCCTGAGTGGACAACTACTGTCGGCCACGGGAGTGATGCAATGGAGTGCATGAGAGTGTTAAACAAGGTGGGACTCAGGACTCCACCTTGAGGGGTGCCGAGGTTCATTTCTTGAACAGGAGACATAGAGCCTTCAACGCGAACCCGGGCCTGACGTCCAGTGAGGTAAGAGGCGATCCATTGTAGAAGTCTCCCTTTAACCCCTAACCGCGCAAGTTCAGCTAAAATGAGGGCAGGCTGAGCCGTATCAAAGGCTCCCTTGATATCAAGGAAGACGGAGACGCGGGCAGTCTGATTGCAATAAAAGGAAGCAATGGAGTGTGCTGTGCTGCAATGTTGAATGAAACCATTGAGGGAGTTGTGGAAGCCGCCTATGGTGTGAAGAAGGCGACGATGGAGTATCCTCTCCATCATCTTGCAAACACAGGAGGTAAGACTTATGGGTCGATATTTCCCAGGATCTCCCGGCTTAGGGATGGGGATAATAGTGGCATTTTTCCAGTTGTCGTTAATTGAAGTTTTGTTTGTTAATGGAACTGAATATCCTCATGGGAGCTATTTCGTTAATTGAACCGTTCGTTAATCGAGGGACTACTGTATTTGTGTGTAGACACACGAAACACATACAAATAAATAATAATGGGAAAATCCTCTTACAAATAATTAATCAGAAACAAGTCAACAAAAGTAATAAAAATGTTTGTCGACACTCAGTTCAATACAACTCCATGCTTTGTTATAACTTTAATAACAAAGCACGGAGTTGACTTGAGGGTAGTCAGCCAATGTTATTCGTGGATTTGGCTACTCGTGGCCATTTTGAAAACCTAACCCCATGAATTTTAAGGGGATGCTGTAGTCTGAATATTGACTGATTAATGATGATTGTAGAAGTTTGTCCAAGTTGAAACTAATGTTAGAAAAACTGAGTATGGAAGTATTTGTGACATGAGACTGGGTGTGGGTGAGTGTAAAGAGATGTTCTAACATTAAGGTATTATATTAGAAAGGTCTCACAGGTCTCCTTTCTGTGTTGTGATATACTGCAGATTGGGTGGAATGTGTATCTGTGTGAAAATCGGACTTGGATGGCTCTTGTAAAAATAATTTAAAAACATTTCTTCCTGTCATACAAATTTGTAATGTGTTTTAGAACCATAGATTACTGAAGGATGAATTGATTACTCCCACAATAGTACTGACACAAGTCTACCACCAGACTATGTCATATACAGTAAAACCTCGATTAACTGACTCGGATTAACCGTCAATCCCGAACTCCTAAAAAAGATTTTTTTACGGGGATTAGCCCACCCGGGCACAGGTCACTGACCCACATTGGGGCCTGGGGGGCGAAGATGTAATAATATTAATAATGATAATAATAATAGTAATAAAGAATCATAAAGAAATGCAAAAATGAAAAAAAAATCAAGAGTGAGAAACAATATATGTATGTTGTGTTGTCAATAGTAAGAGAAGCATTTGAGACCCTGCAATTGTGTGTAAATTAGGTAGAAAATCAGATCAGCAACCTGGGACTTGGTCACAATTTTTTTGATGACATGTTCTTTGACTTTTCCATTTTTTATTCACGGTTTCTGTGCTGGTTCATATTTATTTACTAAAGTGGTTAATGTTTTAAAGCAAATTCTATTGAAATATGAATGGCAAATGAACAAAAATGAATAGAGGGAATTAAATGAAGTAGTTTAGGGAAAGGTATTTTGAAAATGTATGTTTTATTTCCGTAGACTTTATGTACGATTAACCGACCTTTCGGATTATCCGTCGGCCCTTTCCCCCCATATGTGGTCGGTTAATCGAGGTTTTACTGTATTATAGTTACATGTACAGTACAGCTTACTAATTTGGAAGTTATAATGTATATTATCCTGTACTGCTACGCGTTGATGGCAGTAAGGGCAATTATTACCTTCCATCTTATTTCAGAAAAGTATATAATAGTTGTGAAAACATGCTGACAGCTCAAGATGGCAATTTTGTTAAATGTTGCATTTGATTACTGAATACTTAGCTATATTATTAATATGTTTATATCAGAATGACTCATAGTTGTTATTCATTGAAAATCCCTAAGTAAAGGACAATGATCTTAACATTATAAATTATTGTTGATGTTAATCAGAATAAAGAATGTTTTAGGTCATAATTTGGGCTACAGGAGTTATTGGTACAGCTGTGTCTAGTGTTTTGGTGCTGTAGTTCTGTACATTGAAAGAGACCTTCAATAAATTCAACAGTAGTTGAGGTTTATTTTTTCCCTTTCTACAGTACTGTACTTTGAAATCTATTAACTGTTGTTTGTCTTTCTCTCACAGATGATCCCAAAATTGGAAGTTTTGACCCCGGAGACCCAACAACAACTAATTTATATCTCGGAAACCTAAGTCCCAAGGTTAGTTGTTGTAACGGTTGATTATTTAGGTAGATTGTTGACCTTTACATACAGGCTATCATCTGAGGAAATTTCATTTTCCTTGTGCTCCAGTTATTTACACATAAGGGGAGTGGGGAATCCTTAGCCATTGATTAATGAGAGGTGATTTTGCCATATATACATACAGCAAAGCCTCGAATAAGAACGGTAATGTGTCCTCCAATATTGCAGTGTAAGGTGAATCATCGTACAGTATCACAAATCATTAATTACCATTAAAATTGAAATAATAATGAGATGCGTCCCCAAGTGTGACCTTTTCATATCTTTTGTGTGACTTTTACTCTCTTCCCCCAAAACAATACAATTAATGAAAATTGCAAACTATATTCTTTAAATAATGTTTCTGAATGCACCTTATACAATATAAATAAATAATGATATGGTCACACAAGAGGAGATGGGACACCATTCTTTTCGTCAGTGTTTACAGCTGTGAGTCCGGGACGATAGTTCTACACAAGAAAATTAAGAAAATAAGACCCTGGTTGTAGCTGTAGTAAAATTAATGTAAAAAAATTAATACCGGGGTATGTATATATGTTTTAAGTAATGTTATGTAATGTTAATAAATGGAACAATAGAAGTAACCAACCACTAATGGCAAAGAAAAAAAAAGGTGAGATGGATTGGGAACGCCAACATATACGTGCGCATTTAAGGATACCGCGTCATTTATCTTTTTAAGAATATGCACAAAAGATTCATTCTTGTTTATTATTGAATATGTATTTGATTGAATTAATCTTTATACAGTGGTCCCTCGGTTAACGAACACAATTCTTTCCAGAAGGTCGTTCGTTAACCAAAACCATTGTTTCAATGGGATTTTGGGTAATTGGTTCCAGCTCACCGAAAATTACATACAAACTAAAAATAAATGCAGTAAAGTACACTTACTTTGAGGTGTGCATGTAGAAGGCTCCTGGTTGATGATGATGGGAATTAGAAGTGGGGGTGGAGGAGAAAGGAGAAGAGAAGGCATTGGGGTGGAAGAGAAGTCACCCCATGCTTCATGTCGCCATTTCACCCATAAAATTTTAGTTCACTTGGTGTAATTCAAGATTATTTCATTCAAATCAACACTGCACTGCATTATATATTGTCAATATGTAAAATAAACTTCAGAATGACCAATAATTGTACTGTAAAAACGTAAAAATAGTTTATGTTCAAGAGAGTCTCAAGCAAGATGCGTCCTCCACTGAGCAGGGACACACACTGGCTGTTTGGCGCGCTAAAAACTAGTTCCCTGTACTTCAACTATGTTAAATAATTGTTAAAATGATTAAAAAAATTTAATATAAGACTTGGAAAATTATTGAATAATAATACAACCTTCTTGATATTTACTCAAATGGTAACGAATTTAAGCCCTAAAACTGATTACTGTATTGGCGGACTAACACTACAGCTGGTGAGCAAGCGAAAACATGTTGGGAAAAATTCGTAAAGAATTCGTAAACCGAAATTTTTTCGTTAACCAAAGTGAAGATTCTTATAGAAGGTAATTCGTTAACCCAGGCATTCGTAAACCGTGGGACTGCTGTATTGTATATGCGAAATGAACAATACAATTCATTAATAATACATAGAATATTAAAATACACAAGAGGATAAGAGACAGCAATGTTGTCAGTGTTTACACCCATAATGTCAGTTATCCACCTGAAACTGAAGAAAATAAGACCCTGTTTGTAGCTGTAGTGAACTTTATGTAAAAAAAATTAATACCTGTATGTATGTTTTAAATAATGTTATTTAATGTTCATAAATTGAACACTAGAAGTAGCTATCCACTAATGGTAAAGAAATAAAGCGAGACGATTGGGAACGCCAACGTATGTACAGTAAGTGCATACATGTGAAATTTCTCGACATATGAATATGAAAGCAACACTTATTTGCTGTTCATATATATTTTAAATAATATTTACGAATGTAAAAAAAAAATTCTACTCGCCAATGGTGGTAAAGTCTAAAACATAAGGACAGCCAATGATGATGTGCGAGTTTTTACTCAGATGACGAAATCATCAGGTTCAATTCTGGCTGAAGCTGTAGCTTTCCATAAAGTTGTTGCTGAAACTGTTACTGAACCTGAAGATGTAGGTTGAAGCTGCTTATGATGTTGAATTTGATGGTTTAGACCTTCGAATAATAAAGCTGTTGAAAAAACCTTGTATAGCTGCTATCTTTTCTCATTGTACATCTTTATGTAGAGGTCATTTGCATTTATTTAAATTTTAATGCTTTGTTCTGTTAATGGATCCACATCTAGTTTCTTGGCTGAGCTTATACTCTTTCTGTTAGGTTTTGAAACAACACTACCATCACTTGCTCTCTTACTCACGTTGAATAGGGATGCAAAAATGCTGTAAGAAACCTGAGAACGTTTTTTTTCTTTCTTTTCCTGTTCAGATGCGTGATAACAAAGGTCCCACCAGCTGCGATTGTTTATACTAGTGATGCTGGCATCGCCACTAACAAGCCCGGTAGCCTCCGTGCGCAAGGCGTGTTTTATATATATATATATATATATATATATATATATATATATATATATATATATATATATATATATATATATATATATATATATATATATATATATATATATATATATATATATATATATATATATATATATATATATATATATATATATATATATATATATATATATATATATATATATATACATACATACAGTCAACCCTCACTTTACGCGGTTAATGTAACCCACAGGGTACCGCGGAAAGTGAGAAACGCGTAAAGTGAATAACATAACATATGGGATTAAATGAAATAGAGACCAGCTGACCCCCAAACTCCACTTTTTCCAACACAATACCTATGTTCTAGTAAAAATAACATCTTAATTTTATGATGGTACATGCACACAATTAATACTTAAGAGAAATAGAGAAATACAGTCGCCAAGTTAATGTCCATTCAAATAATGGACTCAACTCCCTCCCCCTCTTCTCACACTACACTCGCTGGCTCTTCCCTCTCTGAGAAATTTTTGGGGGAAAACCACTAAATTTTAATAAATAATACCTCAAACTAAAGTTAGGATAATATAATTGACATTGCTGGATTCCTTGTAAGACCAGGAATATTTTGAATATAAATGTCATATATTTTGCACAAAAAATAACATATTTACTCAGAGTAAACATTATATCTAAAATTTGTATGTCTAATGCAAAATCTATGATGTTTATATTCAAAATGATCATCAAATTGTAAGAATTCCAGCAATGTAAATTATATTCTGGCCAGGTAATTTGTATGAATTTTATGAGCTAAAACAAATATCTTCAGTTAATAAAAAAAAAAATATTCTTCACGACACTATCTGTCAATCAAAGTACCCCACCTTGCCTCCCCCCCTCTTCCAACCGGGCCAGATGGTCAGTCCGTCCCAACCCTCCCCCCCACCCCCCACCAATCCTCCCTTCAAGAGAAAGGTTGGGTGAAAAAACTAGATTTTAACATTTAGTATTAAATAATACCTCAGATTAAAGTTAGGATAATATAATTGACATTGCTGGATTCCTTGTAAAACCAGGAATATTTTGAATATAAATGTCATATATTTTGCACAAAAGATAACATATTTACTCAGAATAAACATTATATCTAAAATTTGTATGTCTAATGCAAAATCTATGATGTTTATATTCAAAATGATCATCAAATTGTAAGAATTCCAGCAATGTAAATTATATTCTGGCCGGATAATTTGTATGAATTTTATGAGCTAAATAAAAAAATTATACTTCACCCGTGTAAAGGGGTACACCCACCGCGGAATGTGAGCATCCTGGGTTCTGGCAGGGCACCACGTAAACATGGAAACGCGGAATGGGGGACCTCGTAAAGTGACGGTTGACTGTATATATATAATAATATAAGTGATTTAGTTATTATTTATACAAAAATTTAATATACATTTTTATTATTTTGTTGTAAATACGAGGAAAGTAATGGCATAAATTGAATTGGGTATAAATTAACCAGGGTCTTAGATATGAATCCCTCGGTTAACGAGCACAATTCGTTCCAGAAGGTTGCTCGTTAACCGAAACCATTGTTTCAATGGGTTTTGGGTAATTGGTTCCAGCTCACCAAAAATTACATACAAACAAAAAATAAATGCAGTAAAGTACACTTACTTTGAGGTGTGCATGTAGAAGGCTCCTGGTTGATGATGATGAGAATTAGACTGGGGGTGGAGGAGAAGGGAGAGGCGAAGGCATTGGGGTGGAAGAAAAGTCACCCAATGTGCCATTTCACCCATAAAATTTTAGTTCACTTGGTGTAATTCAAGATTATTTTCTTTAAATCAACAGTGCACTGTGCTATATATTATCAGTTTGTAAAATATATTTCAAAATGACGAATAATTTGACTGGAAACACAGAAAAAAAGCGTTTATGTTGAAGAGTCTCAAACAAGATGGTCCTTCCTCTGAACCTGTAAACAAACTGACGCCAAGCTTGGTGTGTTGAATGGCTGTTTGGCACGTATATAACTAGTTTCCTGTACTTCAATTATGTTCAATAATTGTTAAAATGACTAAAAAATATAATATAAAACTTTTAAAATGATTGTTGAATAGTACAACCTTCTTGATATTTACTAAATTGGTAAGGAATTTAAGCCCTAGAACCGATTACTGTATTGGTGGACTAATACGACAGCTAGTGAGCAAGTGAAAACATGTTGAGGAGCGCTCGTAAGGAATTCGTTAATTGAGGGATTGCTCGTTAACCAAAGTGAAGAATCTTATGGAAGGTAATTCGTTAACCAAAATTTTCGTAGACCGAGGCGCTCATTAACCGAGGGATCACTGTGTATATACAGGTTGACAACCCTTTATCCGAAAACCGAAAGTTTTTTTTTTTTTTTTTTTTGCAGGGATTAGCCCACCCGGGCATAGATCACTG